CTCTCTCTCTCTCTCTCTCTCTCTCTCTCTCTCTCTCTCTCTCTCTAGCTCTCTCTTTCTCTCGCTCTCTTTGTCTCTGTCGCTAACTCTGTGCCGTTAAAAGCGTTCGCCCGACACGTACAGCACTTGCAAAAGTTACCTATCGCCGAATTATTTGCTACCGCAAAACTTTTGCGACTCTCGCGCGGAAGTTTCTGGGTGTAACTAGCTATAAAGGATTAGTCGCGTTACCAGGTGTAATCTTGCTCGCTGCACGTGCCTCCCGCGGGATCGTGTGAGTGCCGGTCCGAAACACCTCTCCCGAGTTCGATAGTTTGCAAAGAGTCTCCATAGGCTCGCGGGAACATTTATTCTTCCGTAACCAATTAACACGACACGTTCGTGATTTTTCTCCAATTTTGTTGGAATATTAGTTTAAGTTTTAATTTCGAATGTGCTCGGATCGGTTATTTTAAAAAAGAAACATTATCTTTTCTTCGTAAATTTTGTCTATTAGAAAAAATTTCATCTATTTTTATTTATTTAGCTACACTTACACTTATTCGATTTTGAGAAAATTCTCCTGATTACATCAAATGAATTATACGTACATGGAAATACGAGATATTTAGTATATATAGGAGATGTATAGGAGAGAAGAGAGAAAATTTTTGAAACATTTGAAACTGTATTATTAATTGTAATATTTTTTATTTAAATAAGTTACATATATAATGTAAAAATTAGCGTAGCGAAAAATGACTTTGAGTGCTTGCATCCGTTTTTATCACTTTTTTCCATCAATTTTATATGAAATAATTTAGATGTACGTAAAAGTCTATAACGTAATTTACATAGAAATTAAATTAAAATGAGACACCTGTCTAAAACGATAGAATGAGTTTGGTAGCGATAATGTCCAAGTATCGCGTGACCGTCGCGCTCTCTTCGCGTAAGGAGCATCCGCGCGACCACTGATTCGGTGTGGTTAATCAATCATTCTGTTTACGTTATCGCACGAACTAGCGTCGGCGTTATAAACATTTAGGCGGGGGACGGCACGTGGTGAGAGCGGTGCGGGGAAGAGTGTTCGCCATAAATTAAATTATTCCGGTCCCGGCATCGGAAATCAACTGTGCCGACCGTTCCGTTGGAAACGCCCAGTACGATTAGTCCGATAATCAAGCGCTTAATTATGGAACGAATTTGGACAGTCGGAGAGATGGATAAATATGTAGAAAGAGGAGAAAGGGAGAGAGAAAGAGGAAAGAAGAGAAGTCCGAAGTACAGGATGCCGGGTATCTATCGCGTTGGTTAGAGCTCACCGGCAGAGCTCGCCTTAAAGCGGCAGAGCTCGCGTAATAACGAAAAACGGTCCCGGCTGTGCGCTCGCGCGCGCATTAAGCCGAGATAATTTTTCATCCATATCCGGCCCATTAGCGGCTACCTCGTTCGATGCGACCGCCGCGCCGAAGCTAAAGCGGCCGATGCGCCGCGCCGCGCTGCTGGTGGCGACCATAATCAAGTCGAGTCCGGTTATTAACGAGAGCCTCGACTCTCCTCCATCCTCATCCTTTTTCCCAGCTATTCTCTTTCTCTCGTTTCCTCTCTCCTTCTCTTCCTCTCTTCCTCTTTTCCTCACTTATACCACTTTTCTCATCCCTTTGGCTTTGGCGTGACCTAGCAAAATATCCGCTCACCAATCATGGTAGTGGTGGTGGTGGTGGTGGCGGCCTACTGTTCTCGGTTCACTTTTGA